GGCCTGTGTCTGCTTTGCAGGGTGGAGCAGGCTGAGGGTGTGTGCCTCTGGGGATTCTGGGCTGACAGCAAATCCGGACAGTATTTCAGCTCTGGACTGATGTGGCCTTTAGTGCTTCCCCAGGCCTCTTACATCCGCATGGGAAAAAGAAGCCCTTAGGGGTGGGCGGTGAAGGCCCATTTATACTTAACGAAGAAGAATGCAATTGCCCTGGCACCCTACTGGTCACCTCAAGTGGCAACAGAGCCCCCCCCCGAGCCGCCCCATTCCCTCAGAAGTGCTTGGTCCGGCCCAGGTGCCCATCTGGTGGCTCTGTGGCATTCTTCTGGGCAGATCTGTGTGCACTACACAGTGAGTGAGGGCGTGGCTCACACAGGTGGTTGAGGGAAATAGGTAATGCCCATCCCTTGCTGTTTTCAGTGCCAAATAGGCCGTTAGTGCCCCTCCAACAAAGGATCATCCTTCCAGTGTGTCACCAAGAATGACAGTGACTGCCATTACTACTCAAAGTACATTCGGATTGCTGATCTGAGCCACTGGTTCAGAGCCAGGTTCTAGAGGCTGCAGGTCCAGCCCCTGACCATTCCTGGAGAGGTAGGAGCTCAGTCCCCTCCTCCAAGTCAGACCTTTGCAGAGGTGGCAGCTGGGCTGCACGGGTCAGCGGATCTCTGAGTCTCAAGCCACCTTGAGACTAACAGGACCCCAGCCCTGTTAGTGCATCCCAGCCGCAGCTCTGCGTCAGAACCTCCAGCGGACCCTTTTGAAAACACTCTTGGCTGCCCTAGTTGGTTGACTTCAGAATGTCTGGAATGGGACCAGAGATGCAGTCTACATGTTTTGAAAGTTCTTTGGGCGACTGAAGCACAGCTGCATGGAGCACCACTGAGGGGATGGACACCTTTCCCTGGCAGCCACAAGGCAGGCAACCTGGAGCTCCTGAGCAGCTGTTTGGCGATGGTCATTACATCACCCATGCCTTTGTATTTAAATGAAACTTGACACATAGTCACAACCAATTCAACCTGAAAGTTATTACTTCTGCTGCTTCAGGCACTTGTCTGAAGCATGTTTTATTAACCCTGTACTTGTACTTTACCCACCATTAAAGTGGGGGACAGTAATATCCCAAGTAGTTGAGTTGAGCTGCTGGTTGTTAGATTTAAGCTGGAATTACTCCAGGGTTGTATGTGGGGAAGCAGTTGCTATCTTGGGATACCCAGAGTGGGAGTGGGTGTTTTCTGTTTTTTATTTTTGGTTCTGTTTTTTATTTTTATTTTTACTTATTTATTTTGAGATGGAGTTTCTTTCTTATTGCCCACGCTGAAGGGCAATAGCACCGTCTCAGCTCACTGCAACCTCTGCCTCCCGTGTTTAAGCGATTCTCCTGCCTCAGCCTCCCATGTAGCTGGGATTACAGGTGCCCACCACCACACCCAGCTAATTTTTTTGTATTTTTAGTAGAGAGGGGGTTTCACCATGTTGGCCCAGCTGGTCTCAAACTCCTGACCTTGGGTTATCCACCTGCCTTGGCCTCCCAAAGTGCTGGGATTATGGGCATGAGCCACCGAACCTGGCTGTTTTTTTGTTTGTTTTTGTTTTTGTTTGATAAGAGTCTTGCTGTGTCGCCCAGGCTGGAGTGCCAGTGGTGCGATTTCAGCTCACTCGAGTGAGCCACCACATCCGTCCTGTGATTGGCTCCATTTTGAGTGATTACGTGTGAACCATCCAGAACCAGCTCTGAGCAATGGTGTGGTTTCCCTCCTGCCCCGCTGGGGCCATACCAGCCCCTCTCCAATGGGAGCCCAAGTTGCCAATGACTGTGGCCAAACTCCCCCATTTTTGTCTGTATCCTGCTCTCTTTAGGTTAAAAAGAAGGACAGAAACATGAAAGGCCATGTGCAATTTATTTTTACGACTCAAGGAGTTTCCCCGACTACCATTTTTTTTTTTTTTTTTTTTTTTTTTTTTTTTTTTTTTGAGAGAGCATCTCACTCTGTCGCCCGGGCTAGAGTGGTGTGATCTTGGCTCATTACAACCTCTGCCTCCCAGGTTCAAGTGATTCTCCTGCCTCAGCCTCCTGAGTAGCTGGGATTACAGGCATGTGCCACCATGCCTGGCATATTTTTGTATTTTTAGTAGAAAGTTTCACCATGTTGACCAGGCTGGTCTCGAACTCCCGACCTCAAGTGATATGCCTGCCTCAACCTCCCAAAGGGCTGGGACTACAGGGGTGAGCCACCACGCCTGGCCCAAATTTTTTTTTTTTAATTAGCTGGGTACAATGACAGGCACCTGTAGTCTCAGCTGCTTGGGAGACTGAGGTGGGAGCAGCACTTGAGCCCAGGAGTTTGAGGCTGCAGTAAGCTGTGTTTGTGCCACTGCACTCTGGCCTGGGCAAAAGAGTGAGGCCCTGTCTCTCTCACACACACACACACACACACACAGAAAAAGAAAAGAAATACAGGTGGTGTTTCGGGGAAGGGCAGGTTCTGCTGGGGTCCTGAAACTGTGACTGATGGCCTCAGGAGTCCAGGAATAGGCCTTCTAGCACAGCAGCTAGTAGGGCTCCCCCAAGCCATCCACTGGCGTGTGGAGGCGCAGGACCTGGGGGAGGCAGTCCCCACCCCAGCTAGGCCAAGGGGTAGGGTTTTTAGGTCTGTTTTTAACAGAGCTCTGAGCACCAGGTGAAGGTGGAAAGTTGGTAAACTGGGAAAACAAGGTCAGCATCTTACATTTTCTGTTCTCAGCAGAGCGTGCCATTCCCAGTTTCTGTCCTGAGGCTTTCAGAGGCCTGTACACCAGCCACATTTCTTTCCATCTTCCCTCAGCCAGTACAGTCATTTAAAATTCTTTGGTGGTTCTGAAGATCCTTTTTTTAATGTATAATTTTTACATGAAAGACAGCTGCAAAATGCGAGCCCCAGTAGAGTAGGGGAGTTTTTCAAGGCGAGAAGTCGCTGTCCTCTGCATCGAACATGGATTGAGTTTTCCTTGTCTGATGGTAGCTCCCGGCCCCCGCCCTGTGGGGATAACATTCTCAGGAGCTTCTCTTGTCCTAGCCCCTTCTCATTTCAAAAATAATATGTCTTTTGTTTTCCTTTTTCTTTCCGTTGTTGTTTTACAGCTTTTGTAGAGACCAACCCAAGTAGATGCCGGTGGGTGTTAGATAAAAACACACATCCCCAGGGCACAAGCCATCCAGCGGTGAGGAATCTCTGCCATGCTCTCTTCCCTACTGTCCACAAATGTTACAGAGACTCCCTTAGCCTCCCCCTCCTCTCCCGCACTGAGGGGTGGCTTGTGGAGATGGAGGACTCGGGCCCATAGATGCAGACCCCCTGCATCTATGCAAATCTAGCAATAGCTCTCACCCTTCCAAAGCTCGAGTGCCATTTTGAGATGATCTACCAATGACATGCAGTAAGGGACATAACCTCACAGCCTTTTTAGAAGCATTTTGAATATCTACAGTTGCCTCAATTCACTGGGCATTTCACTCCTCTGAACCAGGTTAGAATTTTGCTATATCTGTAGCATCCTGAGTAGCACACTAATTTTAACTACATTAGTTGAATGTAGTTGATACATCTGTGGCCTCATCGTGTCTGTAAAGACCACACTAGATTGTACTCAGCAGTGTTAGGATATGACATGCTAATTAGATGTATTTATTCCCAGGAAAGTGTATGATAAATGACTGTAATATTTCTAATAAATATATTTTGTTTCTGATTTTTTTCTCAGTGACATTTATCATTAATATTTTTTCAAAGTGCCACGCTTACACTGAGTGTTTTCAAACCAGCATCTTCATGCATATATTCCGTGTTGGGTCACAATCTCCATGGCAGCTGCTCTTGCGGGTGGTGCTGGAATTTTCGGCAGAGGACTGGGCTCCTGCTGGCTCCTCTGCTTCCCGTGTACAGCTTTCTTGCTGAGGCCACAGGCTCATATGAAGATCACCCTTCAAGGCCTACCCAGGACACTGCTGAGCTGTGCAGATGTGCACACAATATGTGCAATGTCATACGTGTGACTAAATGCCAACTGAGACCCCAGAAACCACTCGCAGGGGGAATTATGCCAAGATTGAGGAGGCAAGGTGAAGAACTTTTTTTTTTTTTTTTTTTTTTTTTTAGATGGGGTCTAGCCCTGTCGCCAGGCTGGAGTGCAGTGCCACAATCTCGGCTCACTGAAACCTCCGCCTCCCGGATTCAAGCGATTCTTTTGCCTCAGCCTCCGGAGTAGCTGGGACTACAGGCACATGCCACCACACCCAACTAATCTTTGTATTTTTAGTAGAGAACAGGGGTCACCATGTTGGCCAGGATGGTCTGGATCTCTTGACCTCACGATCTGCCCGTCTCGGCCTCCCAAAGTGCTGGGATTACAGGCCGGAGCCACCAAGCACGACCGAAGATACTTTTTTAAACGATTGCTTCCTTACCCCTCCCTAGTTCATGTTTTCTTATACATAGTTACATTTCTTCCTTGCTATACTACAAATCCCTAATTTTCGTTGGTCAGAGAGATGGATTTGAGACTGAGCTCCCATCTCCTCGGCTGCTGCACCTGACTAAAGCCTTCTTCCTTGGAAATCCTCATCTCAGTGATTGGCTTTTTGTGGGTGAGCAGTTCAGGATCTAGGCTGAAGCCCTGAGGCTTCAGTGACAAAATCTGTTTTTCATAATGCTATCTGTCTTAATTGTCCTCAAGAATTAGTATTTGAGTGCTCTCTAGATTCTCCTTTGTCACTTTTTCGTTTTGTCTTTTTTCTTTTTCTTTTTTTTTTTTTGAGACTGTCTTGCCGTGTAGCCCAGGCTGGAGTTCGGTGGCGCGATCTCGGCTCCCTGCAACCTCTGCCTCCCAGGTTCAAGGGATTCTCCTGTCTCAGCCTCCCAAGTAGCTAGGACTACAGGCGCGCGCCACCACGACCAGCACATTTTTGTATTTTTAGTAGAGACAGGGTTTCACCATGTTGGCCAGGTTGGCCTCGAACTCCTGACCTGAAGGGATCCGCCCGCCTTGGCCTCCCAAAGTGCTGGGATTACAGGTGTGAGCCACCGTGCTCGGCTGTCACTTTTCTTAAATTTCACTGGTGCTGGTGGGCTGCACAGTCAGGACCAACTAGAGGCGAGCAACCCCGGTGGCACCTGGCCTTCCTCAACCCGCCCGAGTCGCCAGCCGCACTGCCCCTGGGCAGATGTGCGCGGCGGCTGCGGCACAGGGTGGGGAGCGGCTGCTCGGCCCCATTCTAAGGCAGCGGAATGCCCAGAGCTGGTCCCTGGCTCCAGGCGCAGGCCGAGTAGAAGCTAGGCGGGCAGCGGCGTCGGACTGCCCTTCCCGCCTGGTGGACAGCCGGCTCTGACCCAGCCATCCAACTCCGCTTGCATCCTGGCAGCGCGGACCCTGGGGCAACTTCGCTGCGGTGGTCAAGCCAGGAGCGGCCAAGCGATGGCGCCACAGGGGCGGGAACTGGCCGGCACCCCTGAACAGAGCAAGTGGAGGAGCAGGTGCGCCAGCGGCTCTGTGAGGCGTCACTCATGACAGGCAGGCTGGGCGCTGCCACCCCAACCCTCCCAGGGACCGCCCGCCAGCCCAGGCCGGCGCCGGAGCTGCAGCGCCACCTGCAGGCCAAGGAGTTTTTTTGAGGGAGGCTGGAGCTACAGTTGCAGTGACGTCACAGGTGCGCAGGCGCACTGGTGTGTAACGGATTGGCTTGGCCTTACCCGCGTGGCTTGGCCTTACCCGCGTGGCTTGGCCTTACCCGCGAGGCTTGGCGGTTGTTGCTTGGCTTGGCCGTTGTTGCTTGGCTTGGCGGTGGTCGTTTGGCTTGGCGTGGCGTGGCAGTGATCGCTTGGCTTGGCATTTCTGGCTTGGCGGTGCTCCTTTCACAGATTGGAAACCGCAGGCTTTCCTGCTGGGAGGTTGTGGCAGAGGCAGTAGCTCTCTACTGATGGCCTCCAGGGGTGGAGAAAAGCGGGGAGGGTCTGAGGGGTCTCCGAAACCCACAGTCTCCGCCATGAGGAAGACCCCTAGCGTCGGGAGCCAGGAGGACCAGTTGTCCTTAAGCTACCTGGGGGACCAGTGGTCCTCAGACTCCCTCAGGTGGTTAAGCGACAGCGCGGGCAGCGACAGCGAGCACGTTGAGGGCGCCTTAGATCAGCCCCAGCACGACGTCCGCCTGGAAGATCTCTGTGAGCGCCACAGAGCTGCCCGGTCGGGCGACGTCCCTGGGGTGGAGCGCGTCCTGGCTCCTGGAGACCCTGGCGTGAACAAGAGGGATAGGAAGGAGAGGTAATGGCCAGGGGAAGGAGGCACTCGCGCCGTGCTGTTAGGGACCCCGGCTTTCTGGTGCCCGCAGGCCCCATGGCACCCGGGAGGGGAAACCTCAGAGGGGTCAGGGGCCCAGGTCTCTTAGTGAGACGGGAGAACGTATAAATGATTATTACTATTGCAAATGTGTTGCTTTACTTTACAGCAGTTTTCTTGAAAAATATTGTACTTCCCCGCGGTGGAGCTTGCAGTGAGCTGAGATCTCGCCACTGCACTCCAACCTGGGCAACAGAGCGAGACTCCGTCTCAAAATAATAAATAAATAAATAAATAAATAAATAAATACATACATAAATACATAAATACATAAATACATAAATATTGCACTTCCCGGCCGGGCACGGTGGCTCACGCCTGTAATCCCAGCACTTTGGGAGGCTGAGGCGGGTGGATCACGAGGTCAGCAGATCGAGACCATCCTGGCTAACAACAGTGAAACCCTGTCTCTACTAAAAATACAAAGAATAAAAATTAGCCGGGCGTGGTGGCGGGCGCGTGTAGTCCCAGCTACACGGGCGGCTGAGACAGAAGAATCGCGTGAACCTGGGAGGCGGAGCTTGCAGTGAGCTGAGATCGTGCCCCTGCACTCCAGCCTGGGCGACAGAGCCAGACTCCAAACAAAACAAAACAAAACAAAAAACAAAAAAAATTGCCCTTCCCAAATGTGTTTATCCATTTTCTCAATTTATTGAGAATTTATTGAAACATAAGCTGAATACCTATTATATAGCAGACATGTTCTACTTTCGCTCAGGTTCCTTCCATCCTTAAAAACTTCATGTTGGCTGGGCACAGTGGCTCATGCCTGTAATCCCATCACTTTGGGAGACCGAGGCAGGCGGATCACTAGGTCAGAAGTTCGATACCAGCCTGATGAACATGGTGAAACCCCGTCTCTACTAAAGATACAAAAATGAACCAGGCATAGTGGCACGCGTCTGTAATCCCAGCTACTTGGGAGGCTGAGGCAGAAGAATCGCTTGAACCCAGGAGGCGGAGGTTGCAGTGAGCCAACATCACACCACTGTACCCCAGCCTGGGTGATAGAGTAAGACATCGTCTCAAAATAATAATAATAATAATAATAATAATGTTGGCCGGGCGTGGTGGCTCATGCCTGTAATCCCAGCACTTTGGGAGGTGAAGGCGGGCGGATCATGAGGTCAAGCGATGGAGACCATCCTGGCCAACATGGTGAAACCCCATCTCTATTAAAAATACAAAAATTAGCTGGGTGTGGTGGTGTGCACCTGTAGTCCCAGCTATTCCAGAGGCTGAGGCAGGGGAATTGCTTGAACCCGGGAGGCAGAGGTTGCAGTGAGCTAAGATCGGGGCACTGCACTCCAGCCTGCTGTCCAGCCTGAGTAAACTGAGAGATTTAAAATTGGAGTGTGATGACTTAATCTGTGGAAACTTTTTCTCCCTCCTTTCAAAGAAAAGCATTTCTGAAGGTAGAAAATAGTGAAAGGTAACCTTTAAGTGCCTTTTGAAAATGTATAACAGTCTTATACACTAATATTAATAATTGGAAATGCCTGATTTACATGCATTCTATAAATCTAAGTATTGAATAAAATGAGCCATACCTATTCTTTTGAATCCTGAGTTTCCTTTGGCTTGAAGTATTTTTGAAAATCAAAGTAAGAATTGTTTTGTTTTAAAAATTTGTTATGCTTTTAATCTCAGCCTAGACGTAGCCGAGACCTTCACGTTAAGTTATCCTTTATGCCCTCGGGGTTTAGTTCAAATAATGTTGCAGAAAGAGATGAGTTTCCTTTTGTCATTGCTACCAGATCTGTATGCTGAGGCCCCTTTATATCCAGTATGATACCTTTTCTTAGATCATGGAAGGTCTCCTGTTATCCTTTCCCAGAGCTGTGGCAGGAAGCCATCACCAGAATTCTGAGTCTCAAGTATGTTAGTTGGATTTAACAGAGCTAACTAAGCCTCATCCATGACTCATGAGTATCCATGTATAAAAAGAGAGCTTTGCACTTGCTTCAGCAGCAAACATATACTAAAATTGGAATAAAATGCAGAGAAAATTAGCATGACCCTTGCATAAGGAGGATGCACAGATTTGCGAAGTGGTTCATATTTTGTGCAGTTAGTGAAAGTTCATTTGACTATTTGCTGACTGCTCCAAAGAGACAGTATGAGTCAAAGCAAACTGGGTGTCACCTAATTATAACTTTGTGATTTTTCACTACAAAAATATGCAGTAAGGTGATCTATGGAGTGAGAATGGAGGTGAGTAACATGTGGGATATTGTGTGCAAATATATTGTTAGTATGTATCTCAGAAATGAGAGAATGTCAACTTGCATCTCTTTCATGGAACTGAAACCAAAAAATAAAAGTAGAATGTTATTTTCCATGTCAGTTGGAGATGAAGATGGGGATTGAGCATTGTTCTAACAAAGATCTACCGATTCAGAGTTTGAGTCTGTGTGGAACAGGAGTTCAGGCTAGGTCTTGACATCTGTTGGCTTTCTGCCCTTGGCATGATTGATGAGCTCAGTAATAGTGGACAGTGATGTTATCTAGTTTGATGAAATAATATATTTACAAGTGAATTTAGTTACAAACTATGATTTGGAAAATAGCTGTGATGCCCCAAATTATAAGCCACAAAGAACAGAACAACTAATAAGCAAAACTAGAACTTAATAACAATTTCAGAAAACCGCAACGTTTGAATATGAGAACCTCTGAAAAAATACACATTGGGTTTTATTTGCAATTCCAAAACAGTTTCAGCAATAAAGCTCAAGAACAAATTATTTCATTGCTTCACTGTTTCTCTGAGCATTTACAAAACATGATGTCATTAAAAATCTTTAACAACCTAGTGAAAAAAGGCAGTAAAATCCTTGCTTTTTAGAAGAATATGTTGAGCCTAAGAGAAGCAACTTGTCAGAGAACAAATAGCTGCTGGTAATAGAGCTAGGACATTTTCCATTATGCCAAGCTAATGTGAGTTAATTTACTGAGCTATACTGCCTTCAATTAATGAGTAATTCATTTTCTTTTCTTCTTTAGAAGCTTAGAGAAGTTGGTAGAACTCACAAATGGAAGCATGTAGGATAATTAAAGTTCTGATATTAACTCTGATATTGTTTGAAACACTCTAAAAATTTAATATATTTGTTTTAAAATAGTAATTTCATTTATTACATTTTTATCCATAGCCTTCGGCACCTAATTCCTGAATGTAAGATGGAACAGTCACCTGAAAGTCTCCCTCAGAATAACAATCCAGGTAAGACTTTCAATAGTGACTTATTTTTGGTGGTCCTACCATAGATAAAAAAGTAAGAATAAGGAAGTTTTGATCATGAAAGAGCAGGTTAAAAAAATCCCTGTGTGTGTAAGTTGTTGTATATTTTTCTGTTAATTTCTTTCTTGGTAGGTTAGATCTCACAGTTATTTAAAAAGTTAATTGCAGGTCATTTATTTTTTTCAAACCAGCTAGTCTGAAAAAAATGTATTTAATAATGGTCCCTAAAATCCTCTATGATATTTTTGTATAAATAAGAAAAAGATATTTTTAAGTTAGTAAGTTGTATGTTTTCTTTATAGTCACATTATAATGAATTAGACTTGTTATGAAATTAGAACTTCTATTGAATTTTTAAAATAAATGACTTATGTTTAGGAAATATCAATCACAGTTGACCCTTAACAACGTGGAATTTAGGGATGCTTGATCCCCTCTGCAGTCAAAAATCTGCGTATCCTCCCATCTCAGCCTCCCAAGTAGCTGGGATTACAGATGTGCACCAAAACACCCAGCGAGCGAATTTTTTATTTGTTTTTGTAGAGATGTGGTCTCACTATGTCACTTTTGACTCCCCCCAAGAACATAACTGCTAAGAGCCAATGTAGACCAACAGTCTTATTGATAACATAAACAGTCATTTAAGATATGTTTGGTATGGTACATGTATTAATATGCTGTATTCTTACAATAAAGAAAGCTAGAGAAATAAACTTAAGAAAATCATAAGGAAGAAAAAATATGCTTACTGTTCATTAAATGCAAGTGGATCATTATATAACTCTTCATCATAGTCTTCAAGTTGGGCAGGCTAAGGAGAAGGAGGGGGAGGAAGATTGATCTTCGCTGTCTCAAGTGGGAGAAAATCTGCGTATAAGCGGACCCCTGCAGTTCAAATGTGTGTTGTTCAAAGGCTAACTATATTACATAGTGATTTGTGTCACTAAAAAAAAGAAATTAGTTTCAGAACTGGAAACTCAGCAATACCTTTTTGGCACCATAAACAAATGGCAATAAGAACTGCGAAATGGCCAGGTGTGCTGGCCCACACCTGTAGTCCCAGCACGTTGGGAGGCCTAGGTGGGAGGATCACTTGCGTCCAGAAGTTCCAGACCAGCCTGGGTGACATAGTGAGACCACAAAAACAAATAAAAAATTAGCTGGGTGTTTTGGTACACACCTGTAATCCCAGCTACTTGGGAGGCGGAGATGGGAGCATTGCTTGAGCCTGGGAGTCAAGGCTGCAGTGATCTGTGATTGTGATCGCAACCTGGATAACAGAGTGAGACCCTGTCTTAAAACCAACCAACCAAACAAACAAACAAACCTGCAAAACATACCCAGTGTGCACTAATACTAATGGGAAATTATTTTTTAAAGATACCTTCTGAGTGCAGAAGTCAGAAAAGCAATTCCTTGTTGAGAAGAACAGGTCATATTACATACTTACAAACCAACAAGGTCTCACTATTATTGACTTTCCCCCTAATTGGAAATCGAATGAGGTATATTTACTTCATTAGAACAAGATGTGTTCTTCTACCTGCTGGTTAATTGTTATGTTAACAGTAATTTTGTTAGAACAAGATATATTGTTACCATTAGCCAAAATATTATGATAATACGTATTCAAATAGCCCAACTCGAGGCTCAACAAATTATAATAAAAGTATAAAAATGTTTCACAATAACAAAAATGCTTCTGTGCTACCGAGATGTGATGCGTAATGCATTGGACAATCTGAACTGTTAGAGGACACCTTTAATTTAGTACATATTAATCAAAGAACTTCTCTAAGTTAGGTTTTGCAAGTCATGGGAGACAAACATGAAATAGACATAGTTTTGGTCCCTGAGGTGCTCATAATATAATAGAGCTTTCTCTGTTTAATTTCTGTGCTTTTTTAACAGAATTTTCAAGGCAATCATTTATTCACTTGTCCACTTAAATAATTATCAAATGTCTTTTAGATACTAAGCATTTTTTTCTAATGTTACAGAATACAAATATTTAAACATACTGTTGGGGCCAGCCACAATGGCACATGCCTGTAATCTCAGCACTTTGGGAGGCTGAGATGGGAAGATCACTTGAGCCCAGGAGTTCGAGATCAGCCTGGGCAACATGACAAGACCTCATCTCTACTAAATTTTTTAAAAAATACTAAAATATTAGCAGGGCATGGTGGCAGGTGCCTGTACTTCCAGCTCCCTGGGAGGCTGAGGTGGGAGGATTGCTTGAGCCTGTGTGTTTGAGGCTGCAGTGAGCTATGATCATGCCACTGTACTCCTGTCTCGGTGAGACCCTGTCTCAAAAAAGAAACAAACAAACAAGCAAACAAAACCCAGGAGCTTGTTATTATCATTGTCATTTTAATTATTTGCTGAAGTATTTATTCAATGCCTACTACTGTGTGCTAGATGCCCTCTGGAAGCGTATAGTGATCATTTACTATGTTAACTATGTGCCAGACACTTTATGTGGTGAGGAATGAAAGCTGTAAAAAAGTGGGTAAGATTTAAGTTAAACATGCAGAATGAGTAGAACTTTTCTAGGTAAAGAGGCAGAAGGATGATGTGGGCAGAAGATTATGTGTTTGGCAGAAGGAGCAGCGAGTGCAAAAGTAAGATGCTTGAGTGAACGTTGCAGGGTTTATGAGCAGTTCAGTTCTGCTAGTGCAAAACGTATGAGATGCGAATGGTTGGGAATGAAGTGAATACCTAAGGCAAGCTTATGACTGACTTTTTTTTTGAGATAAAGTCTCACTCTGTCACCCAAGCTGGAGTGCAGTGGCATTCTCTTGGCTCACTGCAACCTCCGCCTCTTGGGTTCAAGTGATTCTCGTGCCTCAGCCTCCCAAGTAGCTGGGATTATAGGCGTGAGCCACCATTCCCAGCTAATTTTTGTAGTTTTAGTAGAGACAGGGTTTCAGCATGTTTGACAGGTTGGTCTCGAACTCCTGACCTGAAGTGATCCACACGCCTTGGCCTCCCAACTGCTGGCATTACAGGCGTGAGCCACCAGTCCCTGCCCAGACTTTTTAATACTATAGAAATGAGTAGATCTCAGGCTGGGTGTGGCGGGTCACGCCTGTAATCCCAGCACTTTGGGAGGCCAAGGTGGGCGGATCACGAGGTCAGGAGATCAAGACCATCCTGCCCAACATGGTGAAACCCATCTCTACTAAAAATACAAAAAAAAAAAAAATTAACCAGGCGTGCTGGCTCATGCCTGTAGTCCCATTTACTCAAGAGGCTGAGGCAGGAGAATTGCTTGAACCTGGGAGGTAGAGGCTGCAGTGAGCCGAGACTGCACCACTGCACTCCAGCCTGGGTGACAGAGCAAGAGTCTGTCTCAAAAAAAAAAAAAAAGAAAAAAGAAAAAAAGAAACAAGTAGATCTTTTTCCGCAGGCCATGGGAAATTTACCAGGCAGAATGCTTTGGGCTGAAAATACTGGATGACCTAATTAACAGTGGCTAAAACAGTAGGCACCAGGGTTGTTCTGACGGTTCAGTGATATCACAGTGTTTTGTTCACGTCCGTTTTCATGGCTGACTAATTAGCAACAGCTCCAAACATTATGGTCTCACTGACATTATCTGAAGGCTGAAAGGGTGGCTTTTCTTTGCATGTTTCTTTTAGTTAGGGAGAAGACTCAGAAGTGTGTGGTGGACTTCCTGTAACATTTTATTGGCTGGGTCCTACCACATGCTCATTCCTGAACCAGGCACTGGGAAAGCAAATGTAATTACTGTGATGAGCTTAGAATAATCATTTCTTCTTTTGGAGTTGGGAGGGCTATTGGCATGATAGATATCCAAATAGACGTGTGTTTCTCCAGCAAGACAGAACAGGGAATCGCTATTGTGTAGGGAGACAGCAATGTTTACTGTAGGGATTCATTGGAGAATTGTGAGCTGGGGAGTCACATGATTAGATTTGAGTATTAGGGCATTCTGGTTATGGTATAAAGCAGGGATTTAGCCGGGCACGGTGGCTCACGCCTGTAATCCCAGCACTTTGGGAGGCTGAGGCGGGCGGATCACAAGGTCAGGAGATCGAGACCATCCTGGCTAACATGGTGAAACCCCGTCTCTACTAAAAATACAAAAAAAATTAGCCAGGCGCGGTGGTGGGCGCCTGTAGTCCCAGCTACTTGGGAGGCTGAGGCAGGGAAATGGCATGAACCCGGGAGGCGGAGCTTGCAGTGAGCCGAGATCAAGCCACTGCACTCCAGCCTGGGTGACAGAGCAAGACTCCGTCTCAAAAAAAAAAAAAAAAAAAAAAAAAAAAAGCAGGGATTGGCGAGCTTTTTCTGTACAGGGCTTTTTCATGTGGTCTGTCATTCCTATTCAACCCTGCCGTTGAAGTATGAAAACAGTCATAGATAATAGGTAAGCAAAGACGCATGACTGAGCTCCAGCAAAACTTCATTTACAAAACTATAAGGCAGACTGGATTTGCCCCATGGCCTATAGTTTGCTGACCCCTCATATGGAGGGTAACTGGAAGATAACCACATAAAGAGACAGGGAAACAAAGGAAACATTTGCAGTTATCAGAGCTATAGTTTCCTTGTCCTGTCCTCAGACTAGTATTAGTCTGTGGTGAGGTTTTCACCCATCCATGGTGAAATCAATAAGGTTAAGGAGCTCAGTTATTCATTTAAAAATGTTGGTCTTTTTCTTGGCATGATGCCTTTTTCATTTATTTTAGTTAAACTTTTTTGTTTGTTTGTTTAAGAAATAACATTAAAAGTTGTTTTTTTCCCTATAAAAGCCACTACTTAAAAGCCCATGTTTAACTAGGAAATACAAATATAAAATAAACATGTGGCGGTGGAAATATAAAGCAGATACAGAAAAGAGGTATGGTTAATAATGATTTAGTGATTGTTGAATGTAAAAACATAGGGAATGGAGAAATCCCAGATGATTCTCAGGTTTGTGGTTTGTGCCCTAGCGTTTAACCTGGGCATGA